TGGCCAGGTGGAGAGAAGCGGGCATGGCTCGGTCCTGCAGGGGGGAGCGAGAAGGGAGTGTGGCCAAGCTCTGTAGGGAGAAGGGGGTACAGCTTGGCCCAAGCCTGGCCACACAGAGGTAACAGTGCATAACCTGGCTCTGACCTGGCTGTGCTGGGGGAGGGTTGTGGCCCAGCTCTGCCCCGCCCCATGGGGTTTGGGATTTTGGCAGTGAGAAAGGGTGGCAGTACTGTGACTACTCCCCTGCCACCAAATTTCCCAACCTGTGGGGAGCCCTGTAGGCCCGATTCCAGAGTTCCACAGACCACGTTTGGCCCACAGGCCAAAGCTTGAGCACCTCTGTTGTATAGAGATCTCAAACATCTGATTTGGGTTCATGAATTCCATTCTCAGAGTGAGGCAATTAAAAATTCAGCTCCATCCATTATTACTTTTTTATAGTACCTTGAATTTAGCCTTTTTTTGTGCCTCCATGGCAAATTTCTTCAAGTCCTCTATTTCTTTTCGCAACTGTTCATTTTCTTGCTGTAGTCGTAGCCTTTGTTCACTGACACAACCAGACTTTTCTCTTTCGGAATCCAGAATGCTTTGCAACTTATGAACCATTTCCTGGCAACGAGATATCGCTTCCTCAGAGCTAGAAAAAAACAATCGATTCTCACTTAATCAGGAGGTAAAGTCAGTTTATATCTTTCTGTGTATCCTTATCTTTTGTCCATGCCTTTCAACTAAGAAATTTATATTTAGAAGGCAGAATTCTCATGTTTAAAATGCATATGCTTAACATTGACCTATTTGTTAAGACTGGCAAATGTGAATTCTAGTGTGTGAGACTTCATGCTTTAAATATTTTTTCCAACTTTCTTCCAGTAGGGTCAATATTCAAGAAAAATAAGGAGGCTCAAACTTTAGCATGAATATTTAGTTCAAATTTAAAATGTTCTTTTTTGTCAGTAAAGTGATCATGGAAAATTAACTGTACTCTCTCCATCTTCAATAAACAAGACATGCTTTTGTGAAACAAACTACATTTAAAGGTGAGTATTTTTGAGCCATAATATAAAGGATGTTGAACTAAGTGTCTTGATGCAAGTGTTGAGGTAAAAAGTTCAGAAAACCTATTAACTCACTCAGCTCTGAAACTTGGACTTCGGATATATTGTTCCCATTTGCTATATTAGTTTTACTTTTGCCCTATAACATTCCCTATTATTTTCCCCATGTCACTTATGATTCCTACCACAAACTTGATATCAAATACCAACACAATCCTCACTTTCCTATTTCTACTTCACTCCTGAGTGATCCCATCCTCTAAAATACTATACAGTTTAGATCTTTTTCAGGTAAAGGACTATCGTATATTTGTCCACTACTAACCACATTCTTTGCTTTGATAGCACTATAAAATACGGATTTTCTGTGCAGGTTTGATGAAGGCAAACATGTCTGCGGCAAAGGAGCAAGCGTAAGGTGATAGTAAAGATTTTCTGCAGTGAAACAATTCATATAACAATATATACTAAACAAGAGCAATCATTAACAGTGTATTAGTCTATCTGTTTCTGGACTTTGAATTACAATGGCAAATTTCCTGGTATACCCTGAATGTTTCTCCTTTCTGCTGACTTATTGAGAACTGGCATAGAGGGTGTACAGAGCCTTCACCCATTTTGATGTAGGAACTCTGTGATTACAAGGGGCACGGCTACAGTGATATACAGGGTCTATCTTGAACCAGGCCACAACTATTCTGAGCCATGTGAGCTGCCCTTTCCCTTTCATATCAGACCTTGTAGTTCACACCAATGCTATCCACAACATGCAGCCTATTTCTGAACCAAAGCTTTTCTAGAAATTGATCTGCAGAATATTTGGCTCTTGTCTATGATTATAAACAGTGGGTGTTTATATGCATACTCTGGGAAGGGGGGGGGCGCGCGCAGGAACGGACGTTTTAACTAGAGCAGTTCCAAGTGCCGCTCTAATTAAAGGACCTGGAGTGTCTTGTGTAACAGTGTCCCTGCACTTCAAAATGGCAGTGGTGGCGCCTTATCTAAAGCTTGCCAAATGAGCTTTAGCTAAAGCACCCCCCACTGCCGTTTTGAAGCATGGGGATGCTGATACACGAGACGTGAGAGGCTGCTGGAGCACGGTAATTGCCACGCTCCAAAAGACTCGATTAATCGAGTCTGCTCTGATATGCTGGAATTACAGTGCATCGGAGCAGCCTCCCTGCTTGTTTATAGGCACCCAGTGAAACCATGTAGGTACAGAAGGGCCAGAAGATAGGAAGAAAAAAAATCATGATATTGTTGCTGGAAAACATCCTGTGCCCAAAACCTTAATGCCATTTGAGAATAAGTGCAGAAAGGGGCAGGCTAGGAAGCAAGTGGCGTTAGGAACCTGGAATTTCAGCAGGGCTCACAGGGTCAAGCTGGCTTGCTGATGGGGACTGAGCAAAAGAGTTTGTTGTATAGATGGTTGGCAGGTACAGGCTTGAGAGGGGTCCAAAGGCTGATGCTACCTATCAGGAGAGAGACAGCAAAAAAGACTAAAAGGGGATGCATTTAATTCTGAACGTAGGTGCATAGTAGTTTCAGTAGAAATATGGCTGGAACATATTTTGTAAGTCTGTAGCTTGGACAGCTCATACCTTAGAAGAAAGAAAACTCTGACAATGCTTCATTTGAATGTAATGTTCACTAGATTCGATTTATACACTCTATAGCAGTATTTCATTCTTTTAATCCAGAAACAACTGTAGACCTAGCCTAAGGGGTGGAAATATATTAGCATATAAAAAAATACCCAAAACAACACTACTAAAAAAATCAAGTAATCCTCTTACCCAGGGGAAACAGAGCTCCCATTTTAAGTGGTAAAAGATGCATAAAGCTTCTCTTAACATTGCTGTGTTTTGCTCTCTGCTATAAAACATCCGCTTCTCTTCTTTCAATCGCTTGTGAGCACTTGGGCTTCACAACTCTTTGCTCCAGCTTCAAAAATGGTACTATAGCTAGCAGCCCAATTCTCTCAAGCATGCTCGAAACACCTCTATGTCACGCCTACTCAGGTTTAGAGTAAGGGGTATCATAGGCCAGGACAGAAAAGGAAAATGCTCTTTATCTTGTGACTCTTCATTCTAGCACCTTCCATTCAGAAAGTCTTCACAAAATACTTGCTTGGAGCCTAACCTTGTGATATGTTTGAAGCAAGTACTATCCAGAACAATAAGCTAACAAAGCTTCCAAGTGCTACTTCCTTCACACTATCTGCAGGAAAACCTTGATGTAAAATATAGGGATTTCAAATTGTTATCTAAGCAACAGCCAAATAAAACATAATGTAGTCCTCTGTGGGGCGTTCAGACTATCTGACATAAATGGTTCTAGAATAAAAACTCACCTAAGACAATTTCCTTCTCTAAATCCCACAGGGAAGAAAAATGATTCAGTCTATTCAGGGAGAATTAAAATGGAACCTACAGATTTCTGAAGGTATTTTGTTCCATAATGCTTTTTACCAAACTCCACATTTACTTTGTCAGGTAGGCAACTTAAAATATTCAGAAAAACTACACACGGATGACCCTTCTAAAAGATTCATAGAGAAAGTCTGAAGGCTTCAGTGAACCTATCCTGTTGCTCTACAAACTATGAGAATACTTCCTTTAGAGGAAAAGTAGATTTTTTTTCCTCTGCCGCCAGCTCAACTGTTTCAATGTGCATCTTGACCTATCCTCTGTCTCCTATTTCTGAAGCAGAAAAGGTCGTATCCTTCAACTCCTTGTCAGAGGCCAGAAGACTTTGAATTTAGCCATTTTGAAGAGAATAGCCTTAAAGCCAATTAATACAGACACATTTCTCCCCTGCTTGGGGAAGAAAAAATGGTAGTGAAGCAAGAGACTGTTGAATAAAAGGTGAGTGTACAAGAGAATAAGGTCACAAAGCCATTAGAGGAAAAAATGTACTCATGTTACAGATGAACCTTAGGAAGAAACAACACTTAGCACTTCACAAATCTTAAAGTGCCAGAAGGCAGGTCACAGTGCTTTATAGGGAGAACTTATTTAAGGTAGAGTACTACCTTAAATAACCCTCTGGCAGAGTTGTTGAGTAGTTGTTAAGGAGAGGAGGTGACAAGGCTGTGAGAAAAATAAAAATCTGGAGAAAAATACTCTTCTTCAGTTGTTCAGTACAAAGAACTTAATCTCAGTATTGCAAGTGTAATATCAAAAAGGAACTAACCTAATTTACTAGACAATAATTCTAGTAAATGCAGAATGCAGAAATTCTTCTGCATTTTTACATAAAGTGATTTTTCCAAACAGATAATACTGCATATTAAGATTATTAGTTACAAAGTTGACTTCTATTTTCTATTTTCTCTGTTTTATAGAACAGTTCTTATCTTGTCTTGAATTCTAAACAATGTTATTCCCACTTATATTACCACAGTAATAATGCTGTTAAAATTAAACAAGAATAACAGTAAGAAGCCTACTACTCTTCTTCCTGCTGCTTAAGAACATTTTATGCGATGACACTTCGACGATTAGGTGGAATATTTAGTGAAATCCTAATGTGTAAGACATCAGTTACTCACTTCATTTCCAGATACTTCATTTTGTTTTGTGCTGACTGCAGACTCAGTTGAAGGTCATCTTTTGCACTTTCTGCTCTTAGGCATCTTTGATGCAGTTCCTCTAGTTTTCTGTAATCATATTCATTTCCTTGGTTTTCACGGTATATCTGTGGAGCAGGCTTTCATGTAAATCTCTGATTTTAATCACACGAATGGCTATCAGCATACTATTGCTGTCTTTGTTCCATGAAGTTTTAGTAGCTGAAATAATGGGATTTCCATCATTACAACTGCTACTAAGATAATAGTTTTATAGATCTTGCAGTCAGTTAATTTTCTTGATACGTGGCTTAAGTTTCAACTGCTGCTCCTACTTATACTCACGGGATTATGTTAAACATTTTTCTCCTACTCCCCAGCTTTTACACTTCTCAAATATTTGTAAACAGGTTTTACTACTGTTTGTCATAACCTGAATGAAGCTAACAGGAACCTAATGAATATGTTAAGCAGCCATTTAGTGGTTTAGGAATATCATCTTAGAGCCATTGCTTACGGTTTATTTACTACATCTCTAAAATGGAATATGAAATCCATTTTAATTTTAAATCCAAACCCTGAAATTAAAAAGAAAAATTAAAAATAAATAAAAATCTAAAAAAGACAAAACACAGGCATCATGGTATACTGTTCACCTTGCTTTAACAGGTATTACTCAGGAGAAAAACAATAGTAAAATATATCATAAGCTAATTTAATAAAACAATAACAAAAAATTGAAGTGCAAATGTGCAGTTTTCTTTCTTACCTTTTCGAGTTCTTCTTCCACTGCTCGCTTCTCTCTAATAGCCCGTTCTGTTTGACTCTGCTTTTCTCCACATTCCTACAGAAAACCAAGCTATTTTTGTAATCCTTATTAATTCACTGGGTACTATCTAATTTCTATACTGAATAAGACAGGGGATACTTAAATACCACTATCTGAAACTACTAGCTAGAGGACAGACTGCAATGTCTTATATACAACCAGACTAACAGAAGTTTTTTTGGATGCAAAGGTTCTTATAAACTACAGTCTGCGAGTGTGTAGATACGGCACCAAAAGGATCACCTTACAGAAGCAAGAAAATAGTTCTGGAAAACCCTGTTGTTCTAGGTATACACTTTTCTATATCAAATGAAGCACTCCAAACCAACTGATTTTCATATAATCAACAAAAGGTAAACATTAAATCAAGTACTACCTCTAAACAGTATTTCAAATTCCTTACCCAAACCAATCAGGTGCAAAACTAACTAAGTTGCAACTGTTTTCTACTGACTATTTTTCCTCTTTGTATCTGAAATCAGTCATACCCTTTCTGCTGAATCTTTAAAAAAATGCCTCTTCATGGAGAGATCAAAACTGAAATATTCAGTCCACATGAAGACTGACAGTTATAAACAACTGAAACAGCCCTGTAACAGGGATACAAAGATTCCTGTTACTTTAAGGGGAAAGTGCAGCAGGCAAACTTTGCTGCGTAGGCAGGCAGCTGAGTAGGAGGTAGCTGCGCTGCAAGAAGCTGGCTGTGTGAGGCAGATTCCAGGCAGCCTGAAAGTTATGACACTGTAGAACAAGAGTAGGAAGAACTGTAACTGTACCCTAATTTATAAAAAATAAAAATAAAAATAAATGTATAATTTAAAATACATTTTCATTTCAAAAACAGAACTGGCATTTCACGGCTGCTGACAACTGACATCTAAAATGTCCAGCCCTACTGAGGGTCTCAAACAACTTGTTCAAGTCTCTCTAGATTTAGAAAAGCAGTTAGATAAATACGAGAGAGAGCATATTAGAACATAAACAGGAATTGAAACATTTTGATGGTAAGGAATATTTTCAACAAAGTCTGGACTGTACCATTTGGAGAGCAGTAAGTTCTTCTGATAGTCGAGAAATCTGTATATTGTACTGTTTCCTTGCAGCTTCTACCTGCAATTAAAAACATAATAAAAACAAACAAAAAAATTTAACACACACTACATGAGCTGCTTTTCTGTCGTGTGAAATACATATGGTACTGGAATAAGGAATTTTCACCAGTTTCCAGACAGGAACGTTTTGGAAACTATCTAGAAGATATGGCCTACATTTATGAATGGTAGTATGAATAGTAATTAACTTTTGTCAAGGAGATTTTAATAACAAATTGCCTCTATGAAAGGGAACTGTGACATCAAAATAACCAAATTACAGTTAAAATCTATTGTTTTTTGGTGATCAGAAACATAAAAGGCATTTTATCACTATATGAAATTTCTGAATTAAGGAACAGTTCTCGAGTTTTTGGAGGAGAGAAAAAGATTTGAACAGCATGTAATTGAATTTGAATGAGAATTCTGATGGTAAATATAAGTATATGTAATAAGGGAGACAGCAGTAACTATGCATGCATTTTTAATAATCTATGAAAACTAGTTATCCAAATAGGTTACATATTATGTGAAGTCTTGTGAAATTATTACTGTTTGCCTATGTTGCTTTAATTCAGTGGGAACTGTTGGAAAAAACAAACAAAAGAAACCTACACTAAAGTAGGACAAATGCAGAGTGCTGCACCTAGGGCACAAAAATATCCAGCACACCTACTGGCTGGGAAGTGACCCTCTCAGCAGCACAGAAGCGGAAAGGGATCTCAGAGTCATAGTGGACTCCAAGATGAGCATGAGTCGTCAGTGTGATGATATCGTCAGCAAAGCTAACCACACCTTATCATGCATCAGAAGATGCATGACAAATAGAACCAAGGAGGTGATACTTTCCCTCTATGCGGCATTAGTCAGACCGCAATTGCAGTACTGCATCCAGTTTCAGGTGCTGTACTTCAAGAAGGATGTTGATAGACTTGAGAGGGTCCAGAGGAAGGCCACTTGTATGGTTAGGGGCTTACAGGACAAGCTCTATGAGGAGAGACTGAGGGACCTAGACCTCTTCAGCCTCCACAAGAGAAGGCTGAGAGGTGATCTTGTGGCCACCTACAAATCCGTTAGCGGGACACAGCAAGGGATCAGAGATGCTCTGTTCATGACGGCGCCTCTTGGGGTAACAAGGAACAATGTTCACAAACTGACAGAGAGCAGATTTAGGCTAGATATCAGGAAAAACTTCTTCACAATAAGGGTGGCCAAAATTTGGAATGGGCTTCCAAGGGAGGTGGTGCTCTCCCCTACCTTGGGGGTCTTTTAAGAGAAGGCTGGATAGGCCTTCTGACCCCAACACTTGTTCCTGCCAAGGCACGGAGTCAGACTTGATGATCTGTTGAGGTCCCTTCCGACCCTAGCATCTATGAATCTATGAATAACCTGCAGGGGCAAGACTAATTGAGGCTTCTTCCCTGCAGCCAGAATAACTGAGCCTAAAGAACTAACCAGTGCTAGCTGAGCCCTAGCCCCTTCCCTCTGACTGGTTTCATGTCTACTCTTAAAGAACCTCTTCAGGACCAGAGCTTGGCTGCACAATTTGATGGTTGCCAGTCCTTGCGCAGCTCTTGTCCTGGTAACTCCTCTGTGCCCTCAATGCCTGATTAACCCTCTGGTTCAGTGCTAACAAATCTAGTACATTATTTATTTCTTTTCTTTATCCCCAATTTCCTTAGCAGACAACTTTTCCTCACAACAGTTCTTCAGTTCAGCGATCATTTGTCACTGAAATGCTTTCTTTTTTACAGCATGCATGTGCATACAACACACTTTTCATCAGCAACAAGACTAGATGTGTTCATGCAGTTTGAAGGGGAAAAAATATAACATTTTTTCAGTATTCATGAAAGCAAACATAAGAAAATACTTGTTAAATTTTTTTGGGGAAAAATGTTGCACAAACAAAAAACCTGAAATTTTAATTTAGCTTTTACTTCCAAAGATGCATGCTAATTCACCAAGGTAAAATGTGCCCTAATCCTATATTATGTAAAACGACAAAAAATGTTTTAATATGTATGCAAGACAGCTCTTTAGCTCTGAGCAGTAACTCAGTGTTGCAACCAGATGAAGTGCTGATGGTCCTACTGTCTCAGTGCTGAGTCTTAGCACTAGCACTTGCCATCTACCTTCTACCTGCACTGCAAATGCAGTATATCAGATTTCTATGAGGCACAGCAGTTTTTTGTGCCTGCTTCTAGTAGCTAACCAAAAGAGATTAGAGATCACTTTTAGCCCTATTTCTCTAGTCACAACTGACAAGAAAGCCTGATGTGTGTCGCTGCAATCTTTGGATACAAGAAAAGTAGAAAGGAAAGGAGATTTGGAAGGAGAAAAGAACCTGGCATTCTTGCACAGAGAATTATCCTGAATCAGGGACAGAGACTGAACTGAAACAAAGCTTCAGAGCAATGGATCAGAATATGGACTTTTTGTCATGTCATTGGCAACTTTCAGATTAGATGATTTAAGTTTATTGCCCATCTACACTAACGCATGCATGTCTTAGAGGGAAATCAAGGTTGTGAAGCCTATATTCTCTGATAAACTCTTTTTTAAGGTAACCGCATTTGAAATGGGAACAACAGCTGTTGAGCACCCTCAAAGAAAAGGACTGTCTATTATCATTACAGATACAGCAGAATTGGGAAAAAAAATCATTTCCACCTCTTTTCATAGGTGGTAATAGATATAATTGCTCACCTGCTGAGAAATGTCAAAAGGGGACTAGCATGAGTTAGTCCAAAGACCAGTTAAAATCTAAGATTGTAAAGATTGATTCAAGTCAGTTTATGAACATTTTTGCATCTCATCTTATGAGTATATGTTCTAGGATTGTGGCCTTCTGGTTTTAGCCCTTTTCAGTGAAATCTAGTTGTATATAGAGCAAACTTTTAAAGTAATGCCATGGAGATGCAATAACTGGTACAGGAACTTTCATCAGAACTTGTAACTTACCCTGTGCACTCAAAAGGCATTCCAGAGGGAACTCAAAATGCCCCATATTCTTAAATTAATCATAGCTCTTTGTGTAGATCTCAATAAAACAGCAGGTCTGAGGTAGTAACAGCCAATGGAATTACTGAAGAGAATCTGACTCCATTTTAAGAGTCCATATAAGGGCTTTTTACTACAATAGTACCAACACAGACAGCAACATTTTGGGTCCCTGGGGCATCTGTAAGAATCCTTCATGTGTAATAAGAGCACTTTTATGCTCTGTCTTTGCCATCTAGACACTTAGTTCTGTACATCCTTGTAGTAGCTATAGTATTAACACACTTGCAACGAGATTGTTATCATTGATCTTGTACAATCAATTTTGGGGGCTGTAAGAAACACTTGGGGAAACATACCTATGTATTATCTTGCAGAACATCTCCATAACATGAAAGAGTTTAGAACAATATTTATGTATTTAAATCAACATAAGCTTTTACCTTGTCAACTTATTAGCATGAACTAGCCCTTTTAACTTTATAACCTCTAACAAAGTAATAACTATCTGCCAAAAATGATGCAATTAATGTTCTGCCCAACATTTATGCAAGCCAACAAAATACAGTTTTACTTCAATTAGAAACATCCTAGGCTATTGTTTGGATAATTTTTGCATTTGTAAAGTCTAAATTTTCTGAAATGAAAATCTGTTTACATGCTGGTTTATGTTTGTCAATGATTACATTTGATTAAGTCCTGTCAGTATTTAGAAAGAGAAAAATCAATTGATGTGGCAAGGATATTTATACTTTTACATACTTAGAAAGATAAGGATCAGCACCTTGAACTTCATAAACACAAGCAAAATGCAGGACCAGAGACCAGCAATCATTTTCATGTCTGAGTTTATTACTTAAAGTATATTACATGCTTTAATAAAACATCAGTTCAGGGCTCTAAATGGGTCATCAGGGTTTCACACTGGCCGATCCACTTGCAGGATGTGGGCTTTATTAATTTTTTTGTTCACTGTTGGAACCATTATTATTATTAAAGTGAAGAAAATATGAGTACGGTTCCACTTGAAAAAGCAAATATCTTTCATTTATATTATACCACATTCCTGGTATTCATCATACAATATTAGCAGCAGATCATTTACTATTGCGCGCGCGCGCGCACACACACACACACACACACACACACACACACACACACACACACACACACACACACACACACACACACCAGGCCTTTTAAATGGCAAGGGCAGACAAGGCAGCTGAAAATGATCCAAGATACTGTGACTTCTGGCCCTACCATTCAATTCTATATTCCATCTGAAGAAACATTCACAATCTTCCTTCGAGTCACTGCAAGACCCATCTTTTAGACAAACGCATCCCAGCAACACTACTACAGAATGACCTGGCACCACCAAATACTGAACTGAGAAGTAGGCTAAAACTCTTAATTTTCACTCAGTCATTTGGTGCACTGGAAGTGTGATTCTGTTTAAGATATGGATGATAGCAAGAATTATGGCATTGTGTACTTCAAAAAGCACTGATACAGTATTTTATGTACAATATACATCTACGCATGATAAACACTTATGAAACTATAAATGCTTTTACAGGTCTTGTACACATTTCTTCTAAAATCCTGTAAGTAGATAACTTATTTAAAGTTTAGACTGAAAACTACTAGTTTGCCATATGAAATTACAAAAAGGAGCCTCATTTAGTTTCTAATTGAAGATATTGCTTGTCGGTATGCTTACTTTCTTAAAGCAGCTAGAATCAAATACTGTTAAAGATCATCAACTGCGAAGTAAAACATAAACCCAAACCTACATACAAAGCTTTAAATAGTAAGTACTAAGACAAAACAAGGGCAGAGTTTATAAGCTTTTTTACAGAAAGAATATCTGGAAAAATAGCTTCTGATCAGTTTCTTATTAAATATATATGTAATCAGATATAGAAAACAAGTGGCATGATCAATATGCCTCCAGAATTTTTTTTGTTTGTTTTTCAATTTCTTCTGTGAGCAACTATCCATATGCACATTCCAGTATATGTGACACAAAGTATATGGAAGAGCAGACTTGAACCAATGGAAGCTATCCTCAAATAGACTGTTTAAATCATTTACTTTTTCTTCTACGAATGAAAATCTTCAGAATAAACTCTAAAGCAAGCACTGGAAATTATGCAGAATATTTTACTATAAGATAACTTACTTCCTTTCTAGTTCTCGCAGCAGCATCTTGTACAAGTTGAGAAACTGCTTCTTTCATATTTTCTATTTCCTCTTCTTTTTGCTTCTCTCCAAACAAGGCCTACAGGAAACAACAACCTGAAATACTGTAATATTAACCATCTGTAATACTGTTAATGCTAAAAAATGCCATTTATTTTAAAAAAAAAATCAATTATGATAATCTCATTTCTAGTAAAGAGAAAATGAATGTGATGGAATGCTGAATGGCATGAGAATTACTGTTCCATACTAAATTTTCATAAGTATATAAGATATTTAATTTTCTAGGCTAAGTGAACTTGGGCACACACACACTTGAACATCAAGTGTATGTCTGTGAGTCAATATAGTGCAATATATTGATGTCTAAGGGTGCTGTAGCCTGTACTCACTTGGAAACAGACTTTCAGACAATTGCTGACGTCTTTACCAAAGCATACAATAAAATGGGACTGACAATTAACATTCAGAAGACTAAGGTCCTCCATCAACAAGCTCTTAGGGCACCTATACACATTCAGAGAGGCTGCTCCAATGCATTGTAATTACAACATATCAGAGCAGACTCGATTAATCAAGCAGCAGACTCCGGCATCATGTGTAATCACATCCCCATGCCGAAAATTGTGGCAGATGTGCTTTAAAATAAAGCTGGTCCAACAAGCATTAGTTAAAGCGCCCCTAGTACCACTTTTCAGAATAGGAATGCTGTGGTAGGAGCAGAAAACAGGCAGCAGCCAGGTGCCTAACGAGGGCAGCCATTTTGGACCCAGGCGTATAAACTGGGTTGCAGTTTGCTGCAGGAGGAAACATCAGGCTGAGAGGCTGCTCCAGCCATAGTCAGGAGGTAAGGGCAGGGACTATGGGATGGAGGTGACCCCTTGTCCTGGGTAAGACATAAAACTTCACCCTGCTGGGGAAGGGTGATCTGGTGGGGCTCCTAATGGCATGGGAGTCCCCAGGAAATGCCAGGCCAGTTACCTCCCTGGTGAAAGGCAGGTTGGGGTGCCTTATAACTCCAGCCCCACATCCCTGGTGGTGTTCTAATGAGCAGGGGGAGCCCAGGGCTCATTAAGGAGCCCTGAGGCAGAGCTCAGGCCAGAGGAGGGACCTGGGAGGTGTGAGAGAGACCCTGAGTGAGAGGGGCGACGATTAGAGAGACCCTGAGTGAGTGGGGCCATGAACACAGCAACCCCGTGAGGGGGGGTGAGTGAGGACTCCCAGTGGGGGCACAGTGGCCCAGTGAGGGGCTAGGAGCAAAACAGGCCTATAGCTGTAGAATCGCTCAGTCAACGCTCAGGTGAGGGTAGCAGGAGACACCCAACAGATTGCGCCAGGGCTGACAGAGGCGAGGAGACCTAAGCCCAAAGCTGGGTGAGGCCGGGCGAGATGAGTGTGGCTCTGAGAGAGGGCAGTGTGAAAGAGGCTGGGTGAGAGCCAACAGAGTAAATGGGACCCTAGTGAGAGGGGGTGGCATGTGAAGAGAGAAGAGCTACAACTGTGTGCCCAGTTTACTTTAGCCATAAGCCCGGAGAAGTAACACCAGAGTAACATCTGCAAGGCATGGGACCCTTGGAGGGGAGGTAAGAGCAGATACTAGGCCCTTGTCAGCAGGGCAAGTAATGGGTAGCCTTCCGCGTTAGTAACAACTCTCATATTTTTCCATTAAGGCAAGGCAGGCGAGTGGTTACCCCAGGAGCAGGGTAGCTGGCGGAGCATGAGGAGGAGGCTACCCTGTTACAGATGCTGATACATATGCACTGATACACGGATACTTTATTCAGAAAGGCTCTCGGAGCCAGTCTAATTAAAGCACCCCTCCTCTTCCCTCCCCGCCTCCTGTTAGCATGTCTATAAACACCCTTAATGAGCAGTCCCCAGCTCTGGTAATTCAGATTTACAGTGAGACTGGAAAACACTGAGTATTTCTGGTATTTTGGAAACCTTCTCTCGCAGAAAGCTGACACTGATGAAGAAATCCAAATGCAACCTTCAGACACCTGAGGAAACAGGCATTTAAATTTTGTGACAGCAAGCCAACTTGGAAGAACGCAATATCAACTTGCAGGAGACTATTGCCTGGGACCACCCCAAATGGAGGAAGAGTCTGCTGCAAGGATCTCAGTACTTTGAAGCCTGATGGTGACATGGGAGAAAAGTGACATACAGAATTCTTGAGAGGAGGAGTTGTGAAGGAGCCTCTGAAATGGAACTATGTGAAACACAGAACATGCGTTTAAGAAGGGGGCAAAGGGAAGGAGGATGGAGAAATCTAAGAACTCATTGCTATGTGCAATAAACAGCTTATAACAGCTACAAAATGAGCAATATCTGAGTCAGTCTCTGATCATTCTGCTTAGTTATTTACTGTTTTCATTTATTTCAATCATTGTACTTCATTTCCTGTTACTATCATTTTTTAAATTCTTCAGGCCTTTTGTGGATCTCACTTTTGTAAGCTCCAATTTCTCCAAGAAAAGATACTACCTCATCTCCATGCCTTAAAAATCTGTTACTTTCCCAGGAGAGACGCATTTTACATCATCCTGATGGATAGAAGCTCACTGTTCCAAATGATTTTTTTTAAGTAGTGTTCAAAACCAGAAATCAGAAAGCATATATGTTATTCTTTACATTTTGGTTCTTTGTTCTGTTTAATTCATAAAGCTCAGAACAATGAATCTCTCTCTCTCTCTCAGCATTATCAATTAGCTGGATTTTACTATTTCATTTTATTCTCACAATAGGAACATACTCATCTGCTACTTTCAAGAATGCCAGACGTTTTACCTCTATGCCTGTTCAATTAGTGTTTCAAATCTGTACTGCAACTACAGTAATTTTACCAAACCATTTATTTCTGGCATAATGCTTTGTAGAATATTTGATTGTGGATAGCACTGAATGGTCTGCTGAACTGGATAAAAAGATGTATGCTGCTATAGCTCAGATATAACAATCTTAACATTTTCTTAAACTCTGTACCTTTATGCATGCCATCAAAATGAGATTTTACTCTTTGGTGACCCTTTCCAAATTAAACAAGAAAAAAATAATATGTTTTTCTTTCTAATGACTTTGAAAAAAAAGTTTTTAATTTCTTCTTTTCACTCTGCTTCTCACATTGGTTTTCCTTCTTCCAGGCTCCAAAGGCCAAGTTATAGGGGTCAGATCTTGCTTATCAGGAAATGAGGACTGACAACTCCAAAGACAATCAGCAACAGCTGCACGAAAGTAGCTTGTGGCTATTCATCCTCCATTTTTATATGCTTCTTCTGGTTAGAGGAGCCTATTTCAGGTACAGGTAATGTGTTCCATAATGTTAACTATCTAGACTTAATTTGCTGATTTTTACAAACTAGTATCAAACATACAGCAAACATACTTCAAACTACTAGCAGTTTCCTGAACGCCTAGTTTTCAGAAAATGGGTCCTCTGATATAACTGGCCTACCCCTGTCGGACGGTCTGATGAACAGAATCATACAGTCTAGCAGGGGTGCACCGATAAAGATTTTCTGGACTGATACTGATGGTCGATTATTGACCAATCATATCAGCCGATACCAATCCAATTGCCGATATGCAGCCCGGCAGCTTGGAGAAAAGCATCTGGCTGGTAAGGCTGTTGGGGGGGAAGGGGCATGGGGGAGGCAGATCAAGGGGTGGGGCTGGGGCAGGCACTGCACAGCCAGTGTGGAGTGGGACTTAGGACAGAGCCACAGCCAGCTTGTCCATGGGGTACACAAGGGGGGCTCCCACTGCTGCGTGCACCCGGGGGGGAGGTATGGAGGGCACATGCCCCCAGGTTCTGTGTACGGGGCGAGGGCGGGTGGCCGCCGTGGGCTGGGGGCTATGCTGGGCACTTCCTGGCCTGGGAGCTGAGCTGGGCCTGCGCTCAGGGCTGGTGGGGATGGGGTGGATGGTGGCTGCACTGGGAAAGGGGTTATGGGGTGAGTTACAGCCACCCTAAAATTCACCATGGCTCCCCTGTAGCCTCCCCTCCCAGTGCTGCCGCCACCCACTGCAAACGCAGCCCCTGCCCAGCCCCACCACTGGGAAGAGCCTGGGACAGCCCCTGGCCCTCAGTGCACAGCCCGCCCTCGCTCTGCACACAAATCCAGGAGGCATGCACCTCCCCATGCCTCTCCTGGGGTGCGCACAGGAGCTGCCCCCTCTCCTTGCCCCCCACACCTCTAGACAAGATACCTGCGGCTCTATCCCATGCCCTACCCGAACCCGGATGTGCAGCGCCTGCCCTTGCCCCAGCCCCTCTCTCCCTCACTGTGGGGCCCTTGATCTGCACCCCCCACGCTCCTTACCTTCTCCACGCCCCTTCTCTTCCACAGACTTACCAGTCAGATGCTGTGCTCCACGCTGTAGGGCTGCACTCTTGGTGGTGTACATGCTGCGGCTGTGCACATGCACGCAATATTTATCGGCAACATTATTGCCAACATCAGCCAAAAATGGCGGTTGCCAATAATGTCAATTTTCCTTTTATCGGTCCTGATATGATACGGACCGATGTACTGGTGCATCTCTATAGTCTAACTAAACTGGTGATTTTATGCTGGGTCATATCCATACTACAAATTTTAATTATGTTGTAACAAGATCAGGAGAAACTGCATTGTAAATGAGTTCCATCTTAGCTGTTTTGGTAATATAATCCGGCACTTAATAGCATAAAGTAGTAAGTAGTCTAATAATCAGGAAAGTTCTGGATCCTGTATCTTACCTGATTTTTTTGTAGATTAGCTTCCTCTAAGAGCTGCATGCTATCTCGGACTTTTACGATAGCATCATATTTCTCTTCTTCGAGATGTGAACATTTTGCCTGTAGCTCTCTAACTTGCTTCTCAAGGGCTGTTCTTGCCGTTTTCAATTGTTCGGCATCTTGAGTGGCTACACGAAGTCTGTAAAGACACAAAACCTGCCGCTTATTAACAGAACAAAATTTACTAAAAGCTATCTTATTTCTGAAGCCTGTTTTGCTGATTTTTGTATAAAACCTTTCAGCTGTTTCTCTCTGTTTTTCTGTGATGTATGGATGGCCAAGTTAATTTTGAAGAAATGGCTGCAACTGAGAAAGGAGCTGCTACTCTGAGACACCTATGCTGGGTTGCAGTGATCCACTATAATTTGCTAACTTTTGTTGTTTGTTCCTGACCCTACAGTATAATCTTCTGTATGTGACAGTCACTGCAAGGGCAACCATTTGATGTCACACAAATTGGTCTAACATCTGATGTTAAACAACAGAAACAGATGCACCTTAAAGAAACTATTATATATATAAATGCCTGTCCTTTTGGACTTTTTAAAAAAAGGGAAAAGGAGTAATTGGATAAGGACAACAAAAAAATTACAACCATGCTGTCAGTCATGAGAAGTTGGAGACTGTAACGTAGTTCTAGAAATTCTCATTGCTGCATTATAATGCTTAATTATTTATTATAATCATAATTATTTTTGATTAATTATGATTGACATTACTGGTGAACATCAAGGATAAGAAAGAAAGATTTTGATGCACCAATCTCAGGGAGACCTCTATGTACAGGTTAGTAAAAGGCCAAAGTTATAATTGAGCATAATTAAGATTTTATGACTGCAATCAAGTAACTTATTTCCTATCATCTATAAGAGATAAGGAAATAAAGAAAAAAAACAAGTGAAACAAGGAGCAAGTCAATGAAGAAAAAAATCACAACTCTCTATGTACAGATTAGTAAATTAAAATACCTGAAGTATGTCATGTATTAGCGAATGCTTCCACATACCATATTTACCTGAATCTAAGATGACTCTGAATTTAAGACAGCCCCCTAATAATTAGATTCTAGACATGGAAAATTTACAAATGTGTTATAACTTCCCATGTCTAGAATCTAATTATCAGAGGCTCATCTTAATTTGTTGCCACCACCACTGCACAGTAGCAGGAGTGCACGGCTTGGGGGAGCAGGTAGCAGAAGGCGTGGTAGAGAGTCAAGTGGCTTAACCAGTCCTGCCTGCCCTCACTGGCACCTGCTCTTCTGTCACTTGCTGCTTATCCCACCAATGCTGGCCCCACCACTGCTCCATCCTGGGGCGTGGAGCACAGGTCCAGCTACATAGCAGTGTTTGCAGCAGTGGCAGATCCAGGCCCAGACCCAACCTGCCTGTCTGTACTCAAATTCAAGACAAGGAGTTTTTCCTCCACTTGTTAAATGGGGAAATTAATGCATTTTGGATTTGCGTTACTATCAAGTTATCAAGTTGTTTGGCCAATGCTTGATGGGTAAAAATTTAATCAATTATGATCCAGAATTAATTTATTCAGCCAGATTCTCTCCTGGAAACCTTGAAAGCTTAAATGAACTGTCATGAGCTGCGCTATGGTCTGGGAAGGCTCATGGGGTGTCATGAATGTTTTCTTGTATTTATTTAACTGATATGGTGTGTGTGATATCACTGGAAAGCCCAGGTTATGCTGTATCCATTTTTGTCACTTATATAATTTTATAGATTATGGTATATTGCCTATATATAGCTTCATGATTCTGGACATGGTTTACTCAAGGAAGTAAGGGATGCATACATAAGAACAACTGCCACTCCCAGACACGGGCAGAAAGAGACATTACTGGGTTGGGCACCCAAGGCATTGTCTGCCTATAATGGGAAAAGCAACTCCTAAAGCAAAAGCATCTGAGAGAAATGGCCTATCAGTCAAAGGAATGCCACGTGTCCCTGCGAGGGAAGTTTCTGGAGGATTCTGTTACTCATTTGAATTGGGATAAGACTGGTTGAGGGGGAAGGGGACAAGGGGACTGGTTCTAGCTTGGAGTTATTTAGGGGGCTGTCTGTATGATATAGTTAGTTTTTGCATTTTTTCCTCAGCTGGAGACAGGTCCAAGGCCCTTGAAGCCAGAGTTGACAGAATCAGCAAGAAGGCTGTGTTTTGGGAGCCTCTCAGGAGAACTAAGGCATACCAAACGAGAGGCTAAGAAACTTTGTCTTTCTGTCTTCAAACTTCTGGTCCATTCTTTTGTCCTATATAATAAATCCTTTTCTTGTCTCCTTATTTAGTGCATGTGGTAAAAAGTGATCTCTGGGTGAGTGTTATTCCAGGCTTACCAATTCTATGGAAAGGGGAACCTAAAACTTCTTTCAGACCCAGGGAAGCCACCTAGACCAGACAAAGATTCCCCTGCTGTGAGGTCTAGTATGAGGGCAGTGGAGCTGAAACTTGTGAGGAGGAGTTATCCCAGGCAAACCTTGGTTTGTTCCTTGGGACAAGAGGGACAGAAAAGAGAAACTTAGGGCTCTGGGGCACCCTGCAATGAGGTTTGTGACATGCATTACAACTGGTGGTACTATAACTGAAGTCATGTCCTTCATTAGTATTCAAGAAACTATATCACTGACACTTATCACTAGAAGTTTCATTACAATAATGATTTTACTAGTTCCGAGACGCCCAACTTGAGGCTTAAAACCATCTCTTACTTGATTTAATATGGAGAAGGACTGCATTAAGGTGGCCAATACATGGAAATATTTCAGACTGAAGACTGGAGATTTAGATGGGCAGTTCCACCCAATATTAATGGAATTTGTGAATGGGATCCATACATTAGCTTGATATGAGCTCTAATCTTACTCCACTGAACTGAAGTAATTTGTAAAACTACATGGGAGTAGGATCAAGCAAACAGTGGTCCCATAATCTTCATTCAGGTGAAAAGAAAGCAAGTCAGAGAATTTTGAGAGGGTTCTATGAACTGAGCGGCAAAAGTACTGTGAGTAGTCCAGGATAAAGTAAGCATGTAAGTTTTGAGAAACAGGAAATCCTAAAGATTACGAAACCCAAATTCTCAAATTTCATGTTGTAATCAATTCCATCTTTCAAATCCAACAACATTAATCTCTTTACCTTGTTTCTAATTGTTTTATGCTAGACTGTAGTTGCTGCAAGTGTCTGTCTGATGCTTCCTCTCTCTCCCGAGCAGATACTACATCTTCTTCCTGCAAATCATGTGAATTAGCCAGATATCTCTTACTTTTGCTTGAACATAAAAAATGAAATGTTATGATGTTACAAAAAGAACATTTTGAAGTGAATATAAAGCTTCATGTTTGCACTAGAACAATCTTCTGCAGTTAGAATACCTTTCTCTCCACTTGAGATTGAAGATCCTCAATCACTTTGGTCATTTCATCAACCTTTGCAGTTGCTGTTCTCACATCTACCTTGGTTTGCCTGTGTATAAAGAGACCAATCTATGAATTATAATTAGCTAAATATAGGGAGGAGCAGTGGGTGGGGGAGAGGGGAGAGGAGGCTGCTGATTTACTAGAACAGACTTATTAGAACTTTATTTGACCAGCTGTGAAATCTACTTCAACATGAAAGCTGAATAGGAACAAGTTCTGTTCCCTTGTATGCAGCAGCAACAGAGAAGGTTCCAATTTTATTAAATTCACTGTTGTACTGTCATGTGTGGTGGGAAGAAATTTCTGATGACCAAGCAGGAGTTTGAAACTGTTTAAGTATTGTTGAACACAGCTGTGTTGAGGACACCATGACCAACATTTTCCAAAGTAATCTAATGATTAAGACATTTTAAAGGGGTATGTTTTTCAGAAGGATTTCGTGATTATTGGTCCCTTTAAGTTAATTTAAACTGGGAACCCACAATTACTTGCTATTTCTGAAAATTATAGCCTATATGCTTCAGAATGTTTGGATTTGGCTAGAGAAAGAGGGAAGGGCAAAAAAGAGCACATAAATGGGACCAGGGAAAGTGGGTCAGCAATCATAGTTTTTCTAAATAGATACAGTGTTTTCTTTCAGTTTTTCTAAATGGAAAAACTGAAAGAAAAAACTTTATTAGAACCCTATAATGTGAGAGAGGAAAAAGAGCCCCAAGTCTTTCCTCTTCTTTGATCCACTTCACCCACTTTACTATATCTGGGAGCAGCTAAAACTTTCCAGGTACTCTAGGTTTTTTATTAAAAGATACCGAGGTGCCCACCATCCTGCTTCTGTTCATATCCAGAACTGTCTTTGTCTTGGCCTTTATACCCCTTGCCTCTTACCAAATAATCATCTTAATTATCACTTAAGAAATTAGACAGAACAGAACCTATGTCCTTTGAGGGGCCTGATCTAGTAGGCATGCTCCATGCAAATTTATTACATGCTGGATCAAGACTTTGGAAAATGCAGATCTGGCCATTTTCTTTAAAATACATGCATATATATATGCTACTGCTTCTTCTGCTGGATTGCTATAGATATACACACACACACACACACACACACACACACCACTGCCAGTGTCAATTTTTTACATAATAATTTAGTGGTCAGGGCACTTGGCCAGGAAATGGGAAACCCCAATCTAGTGCTTTTTTTTTTTTTTTTTTCCCAGCCTGAGACCCACATCCTCTACTACCCCTAAACCACCAGGTTATAGACTACTCTAGATAGGGACAATCTCCATCCTTCCTGCTAAAGCTGTGCCACTGTGCAGAACAGAATGTATGGTTCATGAGGACAGAATGATGAGAATAAATCTATGGCTAGTAGTTAAGGTACTTAGCATAAGTACTGGTGGTCCTGGTTTCAGGTTCCTTCTCTATGTCATTATTTATGGGATTTTGCTTTATATTAGTGTCCTGGAGAGCAGAGGAATTGCACCAGAGAAAGTTCTCAGAGTAAAAATCTAAATCCCCCAACTCTAAGGTTTTTAAATTCAGTGATAATGAACTCCCCAGGATTGTTTTCTCTGTGTAAAAACTGAAATTGTTATGTGGTACCTCAGGTTTCAGAAGGTAGGGGTTTTACTCCTTCTATCAGAGTTAGCATTTGGCAGATTAATCCTTTCTGTCCTGCAAATTCAGATCAATAAACCAGGAGAATGCCTCTCTACATCACAGAAGCACTGTGAGAATGAATTAGTCAATATGAGATCCCTGGATACTATGATGGATAGGTAAATTCCTTTGCATCAGTCAAAAATGCTAAGATATTTCAAATTTTACTTTTCAATTTTCACTAATATTTGAAACGACATATTACTGATGTTAAGAATATAGAATTTATCATCCCAGATCTGACCATTTGTCCATCTAGTCCAGGTATTCTTTTTAGAATGATTTGATAATGACTGCTTTTGAAGAGAAGATATATAATAAAACCACTGAAAACCATTCAATCTCTCTTTTCCTACCTTTAACAAAAAATGAATGAGGAAAGTCTGTTTAACCTTACTTTTCTACCCAGGAAAATCAAGCACTAAACTATCTGGATGGTAGAACTAACCTCCCTACCAAAAAGCACAGAAGAAAGTTCTACTGTATTATAGCAGGAATTCAATGTTTTCAACTTAAGTATCAAAATGTCATTAGTACTTCCTAAGAAAAAACAAAAAAGGAACAAATGTAACACACCTTCAGAGACCAGCTGCCAAAAGTAGTTTATGATATTCACATTTGTAGCTTTTGCCACTATTTAATTAATATAATTGCTATTTTAGAGTTTCAGAGTCTGCACATTGGTAAGTAGAGTTCTTTTCTGAATTCCACAAAGACAGAACTGTTCGTCATTGCAACAGTGGCACTACTCAGATTAAAAAGGCAGAACAAGATATAGAGAAAGGATAACAAGCTAAAAAGTGTAATCAATTTCTTCTTGTCACAGATGTCTTGCAAAAGTAGTGAGTCTGTCTGTAGTAAAGATTTCTTAAAGATAATTTATTTTCCAATTATTTTGTTCCTTCTATCATCACCATTCCGTTCAACCTTTTACAACAGAGTAGCTTTTTGGTCCTTTTTAAGATTCTGTACTTCCATCAATACCCTTTAATGCAGCAATGTGCAATGTCAGGGTACTTTATGTACTCACAATTAACAGTATTAGAAAGAATAATAATTGTATCTTTGGAAACTAGAAGTGCCATCAAACAAACCAAATGCACAGTGGGTACATCTACACGAGACATTTTACTTGAGATTAGAGCAAATTACTGTGCAGAAGGTGTCACCATCTACATGTACAGATGCTTACTGAGCAGTAATTTGCTTTAATCATGAATAAATTTGCTACCTGTAAATACAAGTAGCAAATTTACTTATAAGTAATTACTATGTAGTACGACACGTGTAGATGGCCAACCGGGAGCAAATTTGCTCCTGGTCAGCCAGGCAGCAGGGGTAGGAGATTGCTCCCTGCCCCTGGCAGCTGCTTCCTGCCGAGACAGGCACCCAGGCCCAGCCCTGGGCTAGCACCGAGGGGGAGCCTAGAGCACCCCCTGGCTGCTGCAGGGGGCCAGTGCAGGGCCAGTTTGGGCTGGAGCAGGCTGCTGTTTCTGCTTCCCTGCATGTGTATACCCACCCTGGAATATTTGCATGTGTAGACATGCTCAGTATCACTGATGTTATAGATAAGATTGTATGGAAAGTGCATGCTGTAATTTAGTTTTAAGTACAGTAAAAGCTCCGTTAACTGGCACCTTACAAGTATGCAACAAGTATTGCATACTTACAAGTATGCAATATAGCATACTATATTAACCGGCATTCCGGCTTGTAAGGTAAAGTGAAACTGGAAGTGCCCACCGTGGCACTTCCGGTTTCTCCCCATGGCCCAGGGCAAAGCAGCCTGTGCTGCTGAGCCCCCATGGCTCAGGGCATAGCAGATTGCGTGGAGCCTGCCTCATTGTTCCATGGGGCCCACAGAGCCCACAGCAGGGGTGGCGATGCTGCAGGAGGGGCAGTGACACCCTGGACACGGCAGAAGAAGCGGTGGCCTGAACAGGCAAGGATGACTGTTCAGGCCGCTCAATTAACCAGCATATTTTGTTATCTGGCATCCCCCATTCCGGGGGGATGCCGGATAACAGAGCTTTTACTGTATATCAAGAGGTTTAATTATACAACCTTGTATAGGTCATATTTTCCAATATACTAAATGTACACTGATACTAAGGCCTTGACCAAACATCCCCAAAGGCTCTGAAACAGGCACAAACTACTAATGAACTTCTGAGCCTGTTATATTGGTTGGGTGGTAAGAGAAGCTACGTCATTGTCAGTGGGCGTGTCTACACATGGTCATTTAATATGGATTAGCCAATTTAAGCCACATTAGGGGCACGAGTCTACACATGCGTGCCCTTAAAGCAGCTTAAAAATGATGATTTTAGGCTACATGAGCCTAAATTTGATACCCGTCCAAACCAAGTATCAAATTTGTTAATGCAGATTAATGCATGTATAAATGCGTTACTCTGCGTTAATGCAGGGAATTTAGTCCGGGGTCTGCCCAGCCACTAGGGGGCCTTCCAGAGCCCAGCCTCAGGACTCCTGGCTGGCTGCCTCTCTTCCACCATGCCTGGGCTGCTCTCTATATAGTTTGTAAGCCACCACTTGTAAGCGGGTGGTTTTTTTTGTTGGTGAGTGGGATGGGTGGTGGAGGGACACTGTTTGTTGAGGGGGGAGGGATGGGGGTGGGTGTTGTGAGGGTAATAAAGTATCTTTGTTTCAAGCATATGCATGTCCTGAGAGTGGTGCTGGAGGTGGGCAGGGGGTGTGTGGGTGGTGGGATGCAGCAGGGAGTGCAGGAGTAGGGGGTCAGCCAGGGCCTCCTGCAGCTAGTGCCCTGGCTCCTCCTGGTGGATGCGCAGCTCTCTTGGGGCTTGGGTGGGGTGGGGGTGCTTGCTGTAGGCAGCAGGGCCAGCACCATAGCCAGCAGGAGCATGGGGTGCTGGTTGTTACTGGCAGGGGCCAGGCTGAAGCAGTAGGGTGCTGCTAGACATTGCTGGCAGGAGCAGAGGTAGCCCTGGTGCAGGGATGCAGGGTGGGCAAGGAGGGAGCTACCGTGTGCTGCCTTTGTGCTTGGCATGCGGCTCCTGGGAAGGGAAGGAGCTGGCCGGGGATCAGAGGGCGGGGTGTGTTTCCAAGATGGCTGCCAAATGCTGGCAGCTGGCTCTGGCTTAAACATGGCTGCCAACTGTTGGCAGTCACGTGTCTGGATGCTGGAGCTCCCCCAAGTGGCCACAGAGGCACATGGCAGGGCTGAAGCAATCTGAGACTAAAGTTAGTTCCAAGTCCCACCATGTGTAGACGCCTACCAAAACCTGCTTAATCCACATTAGTTTAATGCGAATTAAATTTAAGCCATCTTAAATTCACGTGTAGATGCACCCAGTGGGTATCATTCAGTCTAGGAAGCCCCAGTTAAAGATAATCTGAGAA